ACCATTTGGGAGCTGGGACCAGGAAACCCGGCTCCCCCAAGAGTCACCTGGGTGTCGCCTTGGATGAGGTAGAGAAGCCATGATAAGCCAAGCGCCCCCTCCTCAGTCACCGGGCAGAGTGGTGGCCTTTGGGACTTGTAGTGACTGACCCCTGGGAGGCAGGACTTGGGCAGCACTATCCCCTCTCCCAGTGGGGTGAGCCCCAAGGCTGCAGAGACACCCAGGGCTGGTAGCTCCTGGCCACGCCCACCCCTGCTTTCCTTTCTCCCTGCCCTGCCCCCTCCCCCTCCGGGAGGACTGGCGCCCTGGCTCCGTCCCAGGACTGCTGAGCCACTGGAATGGAGTGAACCATGAGTCAGCCGGCAGGAAGGGACACTTACAGCCACTTGCATCAGCTGTTCCTGCCTCGTGGCCCATGGCCAGAGGCCCCAGCCTGTGACCCTCATTTATATGGGGACCTCCTGGGGCTCATGGTTCCTGTCCACACAGGTGGGAACATGCACAGGGAGTGCAGGCCAGGCTGGCTGCCAGCCCAGGACTGTCTCCTCCCATCCCCCCCCCCCCCCCCATACTTGCAGCCACCACAGCCTCTAGTGCTGATCCTGATCCTAATACCCTGACTCTAGCGTAGAATTGGGGTTGGGATCTGGGCTTCTCCCACAGCACCTCAGTGCTTGAGGGCCAGCCCTGTGACATTCTGAGCCTCAGCGGCCAGGCTCTGAGCAGAGAAGAGAGTGACCCTCCCCTCAAAGGCACAGGCTTATGAGGAAACTGCAGTGGTACCAGCCCCACAGCACCCAGACCCACGCATGGGCATCCCCTGCTTTCATATGTGCATATACCAAGTAGGTGCATGGCCCCCACACCTCCACCCACTCCCACTGGGGCACGGGGTTTGTCCTACGCAGGCCCAGGCTGTGCCTCTCTGAACGTGCACAGACACACATACACACCCCAGCCTGCTTGCACTTGCACACCCACCAACTGGCAGCTTTTTTTTTTTTTTTTTTTTTTAATGTTGGGACACAGCCCTCATTGGTTTGGCTCAGTGGACAGAACATCAGCCCGAGGACTGAAGAGTCCCGGGTTCATTTCTGGTTGAGGGCAAGTATCTCGGTTGCAGGCTGGATTCCCGGGCCCCCCTTGGGCACGTGCAAGAGGAATCAATCAATGTCTCTCTCTCTCTTTATGTTTTACATTAATGTTCCTCTCTTTCTGTCTCTCCCACTCTCTCTAAAAATCAGTGGGAAAATATCCTCAGGTGAGGATTAACCAAATAGGGGACAAAGATGTTTACTGTCACCCCTTGGGTAGGCTTGCCAGAAAACAGAAAACGTACAGGCACCAGTTAAATTTGAATTTCAGATAAACAATAATTACTTGAGCCCTGGCCCAAGTGGTTAGAGCGTCAGCCTAGACTGAAGGGTCGCAGTTCGAGTCCTGGTTAAGGGCACATACCTCAGTTGCAGGTTCAATCCCTGGTCCTGGTTAGGGCTCATGCCAGAAGCAACCAATCCATGGCTCTCACTGTCCCCCTCCTTCCCTCCCACTCTCTCTAAAAGTCAATGGTATAAAGTATCCTCGGGTGAGGATTAATAATAATATTATTTATGCATGGGGCTTACACTGAAAAGTTATTCTTTGTTTATCTGAAATTCAAATTTAACTGGCATGCTGTATTTTTTATGGGCTGGTTATGGGGGTTCTGAGCTGCCCTGGGCTTCCCTGGACGCTTCCCAGGAGGTGAACTCTGCACGACTGAGCCCCCAGGGTGCCAGGCTCCAGCTACCTGACCAGATCAGAGTGGACACCTCTTCCCTCTCTCCCCCTGCCCCCCCCCCCCCCCAGCCTGCCTCCTCCTGCTCAGGGGAAGCAGAGGCCCCAGGGCTGGCAGTCAGGACCTGCCTGGTGTCTCCTCTGGGGTTTGGGGGTGACCCTGAGAGTCAGCCTGCAGAAGTGAGGGACTTCTCGGGAGCTGGCTGGAGGCAGACAAGGCACTCCCTAGAGAGCCAGCTCCCTACACCTTCGGCACAAGGCTTGTCAGCCCCCTTCACGACTTGGGCAGGAAGAACACTTACTACTAGTTTCTCCTTTTTTTGGTCATCACTTCCCAGGACCTTCTCTCTGCCCTGGGGGCCTCAGGCTGGCCTCTGGCCCATCAGGGCAACCCTGAGTCCCCATCTCTCAGGCTGGCCATTTTCTCTGGCACCTTTGGTGGGGAGTATCCTTGTCCTGGGCCCTGCCTGTCCTGCCCACCAGCCCTGGCTGGACCTGCCCCTTGCTGATTGTCACAGCCCCAGCCCGGATAGAGAAAACCTGCTGCCTAAAAACTGAGGGGGCTTGAGAAGCAGGGGTCAGGCTTCCTGCCTCACCTGCCTAGCAGGTTCCTTCCACGCAGGGGCAAGTGGGATCTCCCTCCGAGGCAGGGGATATCCCTGCGGGGCCCAGGAAAAGCAGCGTGGGAAGGCCCAGCTGTGCCCCCAGGAACCTTCCAGTGCTCCTCCCTTCCCCAGCCCTGGCTCCTCTGAGGCTGGGCCTGTCAAGAGGACCATCTCCAGGAAGATGGCAGGTATTGGCTGTCTGGGGCTGGTGACGGGCCTGCAGCAGGACAGGGCTGAGGCCTGAGAGCTGGCAGGCAGAGCACAGAGGTCCTTCTCCATCCCTGATTCCCACCAGCAGCCCCTTGTCGCTAGTGCAGGCTGGGCTGGGCTGGGGCTGGGGCTGGCTGCCTCACCTAGGCCCTCACAGCCACGGCGCACACACATGCCTGCCAGTCCCAGCGCTGAGCCTCCTGCGTCTATAAGCCAAGGGACATCAAGGATGGTTGGCACCACCAGGATCTGGAAGGATCCTCCCATAGAACCTTCTGGCAAGGGTGTGGCCCTGCCAACACTTTGATCTCAGGTTTCTGGTCTCCAGAATGTGAGACTATATATGTGTGTGTGTGTGTGTGTGTGTGTGTGTGTGTGTGTGAATAGTTTATTGATTTTTAGATAGAGAGGAAGGGAGAAGAGAGAAACATCAATGTGACAGCACATCAATCGCTGCCTCCTACAGAATTCCTACCAGGGATTGAGTTTGAAACTATCATGTGCCCTGACTGGGGATCAAAGCAGCAACCTTTCAGTACATGGGACAACCCCAACCAACTGAGCCACATCAGCCAGAGCAAATTTGTGCTTTTTAAAAAATATATATTTTATTGATTTTGTACAGAGAGGAAGGGAGAGAGAGAGAGAGAAACATTGATGAGAGAGAGTCATCGATCAGCTGCCTCTTGCACACCCCCTACTGGGGATATGCCTGCAACCAAGGTACATGCCCTTGAGCAGAATCGAACCTGGGACCCTTCAGTCCCCAAGCCGATGCTCTATCCATTGAGCCAAACCGGTTTTGGCAAATTTATGCTTTTTTAAGTCACCGTGTGTCTGGTACTTTGTTACAGCAGCCTCAGGAAGCTATCACACTTATACCGTGGTCGGCAAACTGCGGCTCTCGAGCCACATGCGGCTCTTTGGCCCCTTGAGTGTGGCTCTTCCACAAAAATACCACGGCCTGGGTGAGTCTATTTTGAAGAAGTGGCATTAGAAAAAGTTTAAGTTTAAAAAATTTGGCTCTCAAAAGAAATTTAAATCGTTGTACTGTTGATATTTGGCTCTATTGACTAATGAGTTTGCCGACCACTGATGTATACAATCCCCATATGCAAGTACACACACACACACACACACACACACACACACGTGCACATGAACACATTTGCAAATGCTCAAACACATTCCTTCTTTCCAGCAATATCCAGTGAGTACTTCCTGTCTGTGTGCCAGGCCCTGTGCTGGGCAGTGGACAGAACTGTGCTCTCGTGGAGCTGACCTTCTGGGAAGGGGCAGTGGCCCATCTGTACCCACCTTACCATCCAGAAGTGTATGAAGACCTGCAGGTGATTACATAAATACAGGAGGAAGGGTGGCAGGAGAAAGGTGGGGAGGATGAGGATGGACTCATGGCTTCTCCTGGGCAGGCAGGTCTGGCAGCCCCACCCCAGGCTCCTGGAGCCAATGTGTCTACACACACACACACACACACACACACATACACACACGGAGGGGCTGGCTGGGGAGGTTCTTCTAAAGGACCAGGGGGCTGGCTGAGATGAGGCCTCACAGCTCCTATAGCCGGAGCTGTGGTTTTAGGGGGCAGCATATAAATAAAAGCGGCTGGCAGAGAAAGGACAGTCCAGCTTTAGGTCAGCGGGGCCTGGGTGGCAGAGTTTGGGGTTGGGTGGCCATAAATTTCTGGAGCTTAGGGAGCACAGGGTCTGAGGACTTTGCTCAGCATTGCTGGGGGGACAGGCAGCTAGCCAGGGCTGGCTATCTCAACCAGGGTCGGGTGCTCCAGCCACAATGGCATTGTTTTACCTCCCGCCCCGGCTGCCCACCGCATCAATCCAGAAAAAGCGCTCCTCTGCAGGACTGAGGAAGGAAGGATCCCGCATAGACCTTAGTACCCAGCCCCCACTGTGGTCCCTTTTCCCTGCCAACCACCGGATGGATGACCTCTGGGGGAGTTCAAAGCATGTTGTGTGCATACGGAGCAGCTGAGTCCTGGATGGGGAGCTGCAAGGCAGGTTCTAGAGCAGGAGCGTCGCCAAAAGGAGTCAGTGTATCCTAGGCCCTGGCCTGTACTCTGGGGGAGCTGCCAGGGGCCGGGGCCGGGCTCCGCCTCTGTCCCGAGGCCCCCGCAGGAGTCCCAGAGTCTCAGACGCCCTCTCCCGTGAACCCCTCCCAGCTGACGCGCCCGGAGCCACGCTCGCCGCACCGCGCCAGCCGCAGAGCCACGCCCCGCGGCCAGAGCGCGCAGCCGCACTCCGGCCCCGAGCGTCCTCCAGCCCCGCCCCCGCCCCGCCGCGCGCGGGTGGGCGGGGCCTGAGGGGCGGGCCCTACGTTGGGGGCGGGGCCTGGCTTGGTCCATAAAGGCGGCGGCGGCGCTGCGCGCCAGGCTCCACTCGGCGGCGGCGGTGGCGGTGGCCCTGGCCCTGGTGGATGGCTCTGCGGTAGCGGTGGTCGTGGCGGCGGCGGCACTGTTCCCCGCGCGGTCCGCGCAGCGGGGCCCGGGCCGCGCGTCTCAGTCGGCGGAGGCGAAGGGACAGCGCCTCCGCCCCAAGCCCGACCCCGGTGAGTGCGGCCCAGCGACCCCGGCCTAGCCCGGCCCCGACTCCGGCGCGGGGATCGGGCTCCGCGGAACCTCGCCGCCTGGGCCTGTCCGCTCGGTGCGCCGGCCGTGGCCGCTCACGCCCTCCTTTGTCTGCCCCCGCCCGCAGGGTCCTCTCCCCGGCCGCCCCCCGCCCCCGGGCCGCCCCCCGGGCCCTGCGTCCCCTCCCCCGCTGGCGGGGCCCGGACAGAAGATGGTGCAGAAGAAAACAGCCGAACTTCAGGGCTTCCATCGTTCGTTCAAGGTGAGGACCGGGCTGGTCTGGTGGGCGCCGCGGGCTGGACTCCCTGAGCGGCGGGTGGGAGGGGCGCGGAGCTCGCCCTCAGGCTCCCCCAGGCTCCCCCAGGCCTGGTGCTGGTCCCCCCGCCTTGGCCTTGGGGCTGCCCCTGGCGTGCGTGCGGCCACAGGCCAGTCTGATGGACCCTCAGGTCCTAGGTCTTTCCTCTAGGAACCCGATGGGGGGGGGGGAGCCCTTGTCCGCGGGGCCCTTGGTTGTGTGCCCCCTGCAAACCTCAGCCAGGTGTATAGTGCGGGTGGGGCGTCAGCCGGCTACAGTCCTGTCCCCAGCCAGCACCTTGAGGCCTGTGAGGTCTGCTCTTCAGAAAGGCCAGACAGGGTTGCAGGTTCCTCCCCGACAAACAAACACGCCCTCCGAAGTAGCCTGCGGAGTAGGGGTATGTGTGGATTGGATGACCCCCAGACATGCACCTCCCAGACCCAAGTCCTGTTTCCTGTTGGAATGGGAAGTCTCTGATGGGGGCCCAAGGCTTCCGAGTTCTAGTCTCAAATGAGCAAGTCTAGGGGGGTTTGGCAGGTGCTGGGCCTGTGCCCCATGGGGCCTGGCCCAGGGGAGGCAGTGATGTCAGCAGCCACCCCACCCTCCTGCTGAGTTATGTAATGGCTTTCCTGGGCCTCCTTGGGCAGGAACCTGTTGCCCTGTGTGTGTGTGTGTGTGTGTGTGTGTGTGTGTGTGGGCAAGTTGGACACCTTGCAGTGTGGGAGGAGCCAGCCTGGTATGTTTGGGTTAGAATTCCCAGGCCTGTCCAGCCAGCATTCACCTGCCAGCACCCCACCCAGTACACACGCCTGTCATCCTAGCTTCCACTCCAGGGTAGTGACAGCCTCGGCATGTCCCAAATGGCCAGGGCTGGGTGGAAGGGTGGTAGACCCAAGGTGTCACTGGTGGTGGTCTGTTAACTCCTGGGACTGAGTCTGAGCTCAGACAGGGTCAGTGGGCAGGGCCAGCTCTGCGGTCAAAGCATACCAAACTTTCTGGATGGTTCCAGCTGCCTCCTGCCAAGGCCTGCTGACTAAAGGCCCGCAGCCAGCCCCGGGCCTGGCCCGCCTACACTGCTTAGGCCTGAAGCAGGAGCTGTGCATGCCCTGTACTGAGGGGGGACTGTGGGAGTCCCAGGGGAGGCAGTGGGGGCATGGGACAGGGAACCTTGGCTCTAAAGTGGCCCTCCAGGGTCCAGCTCTTCTGAATTGGGGGCTGGGGAGATGTATGGGATTGCTGAGGAGACCCAAGTTTGGCCCCTTTGGGTCCTAAAGCCTTTACTTGATTGTTGGGGGCAGCTTCCTGACGTCCACTTTCCATCCTCATCTCTCTTTGTGGCCACCCTGGAGCCACTCCGCCCAGGTGGAAGGACGGAGACTTATCCGAGCATTGACTGCAGCCCTCCCGGGAGCCAGACTCCTCAATGGGCAGGAACAGGGACTGTGGGTGCACATCAGCAGGCTGGCTTCAGTGCCCCTTCCTCCCTCCTCCCTGCACCTCCTAGCAGCTATCTGCAGGGTGGGTAGGGAGCTGGGAGGCCCGCCTACTTTTCAGCTGCTCCCTCTGACCTCTGCCTGCACCCTCTGCAGCTGGCCTGGCTGCCGGGCCTCCTGTGAAGAATCTGGCCTGGCAGAGGGGCCCCTCCAGGTCTTCCTGGGGCTCTCCTGGAGTCCTTCTCTGCTGGATGCATTCTCCTGCCACAACCCCAGCCCCAGCTGTCACAAGGCCCAGAGAAGAGCAGTGACGTGGCCCAGGTCACCCAGCATCGGCCATAGCACCACAATTGTGTATACAGGCCCCCTCTGTGCCCACCAGGGCCCTGGCTGCCTGGTCCATCAGGATGTTGGGAGCTAACTGTTAAAGGAACCTTCTAAAGGCCAGGCCTCAGCGTCTCTCAGCCTTTATTGGAGGGACTGCCAGCCCCTATACAAGGTCTTCTGCTCTGCAGAAATGGCATTTATCCTAACGGCCTTCTGTTTGCCCAGTAGGCGATTTCTCCAATCCCTGGCATGCCTGTCCTTGGCCAGGACCTAGTGCCTCCCCAGTTTTGGGGGCCACCTAGTGATCTTGAGCAGGCACCACTCCGTCAGGGCTGGTTGCTTCACTGGGCACTAGGCCTGTGGGTCTCTGGAGGTGAGTAGGACAGTGCAGGCAGAAAACAGCCAGTGTTCACGCCCGAGCCTGTGGATAGCTCTCCTGTAAGCCTCTGGGGATTGGTGAGATGAGAAAGAGCAGCGTACCTCAGGAAGGGTGATGGCACCCCTTGACGCGGGGAGGGCTGAGCCCACAGGCCGTGGGAAAGCAGGCAGGGCAGCTAGGGGAGCCCCGCCTGAGAGCTGGTGACTCACCTCCCACTGACTGCTCTTTGCCTTTGATCTCCAGACTGCTGTCCCCATTCTGCAGGTGAACAAACCAAGGTGCCACAGTAACTTGCACCCCTCCTCCCTGCACACCCTAAACTTGTGGCCCCAAGAGCCCTGGCTGGGGGTGGAAGGGCTATTTCTTCACCCCTTTGGCTTATGTTCACAGGGCGGGGTCACTCTGTAAGGGGGCAGTCTGACAGCATCCTGCCTGCCTGAGAGCTCTCTCTCTCTACAGGGGCAGAACCCTTTCGAGCTGGCCTTCTCCCTAGAACAGGCCCACCCCGGAGAGACTGACTTCAGCCTGGAGTGCGCAGCCCGCCCTGGTGAGGGCCTGGAAGGGAGGGGACTGTGGGAGGGCCAGGTGGGGCCTGAGAGCCACAGGGGCCAGGTGGGCCTCACGCCCAGTCTCCTGATGCAGATATGCCCACAAGCCAGCCCATTGACATCCCAGACGCCAAGAAGAGGGCCAAGAAGAAGAAGCGGTGTCGGGCAACTGACAGCTTCTCAGGCAGGTTCGAAGGTGAGTGGGGTGGGCAGGGCTGGGGTAGGGGGAAGTGCCTAGGTCGCCCAGGACAGCTCTCACTGCCGTCTCTGCTCTCCAGATGTCTACCAGCTACAGGAGGATGTGCTTGGGGAGGGCGCCCATGCCCGTGTGCAGACCTGCATCAATCTCATCACCAACCAGGAGTATGCAGTCAAGGTAAGCACAGCACCCTCACCTGGCCCCTTACCTCTCCCCAGCAATGCTTGGGATCTGGCATTCAAACTCCTGGAAAGCCCCAGTGTCCAAAAATTACCCCTAGAATCCAGGTCAGCCTGGGCTGAGCCCCCAGTCGAGGCAGAGTGGGAAGTGACCATGAAGTTTGGCCCCTAATGCAGGTGGTCGCAGACCTGGTGCCAGAGTGACCATTGAGAGTAGGATGGGGGTTGAGGGGGCTTTGGTCAAAGCTAATGTTCATCTGGTGGGTTACTTCAGGCTGGTCTCCAGGCACAACTAGTGCTTTCCCCTTATTGGTCACTAGGATTAAAAAGCAACGCCATACTTAGGGGGGCTTAGCGTTTAGGGAGACCAGGGCAGAGCCTCCTCCATGCCCATTTGGCCTCTGACCCAGGGTAAGCCTGGGAGCCGTGGCCCTGTGGCCTCTGTTGTCTGGCGAGACTGTTGAACCCTGCATTCCAAGAAACCTTCTAGGCTCCTCTCGTGACCCTGCATCTGAGCTAGGTGGGGTCACAGGAGGCTGGCTGCCCAGGCGGAGAGATCAGATACTGCCTGGCAAGCAGGGCTGACCAGATGCTTCAGGCCCTGGTGGAAGTACAGTGACAAAAGCAGCTGTGGTCCCTGCCCCCTGGAAGCTGGGGTGATGGTACTAAGAATGGGGTGCCTTCTGAGTACCCGGTGTGTCTCTGAGTATCTTTCTCCTAAGGACCTGCTGGGCAGCCTGGCTTACTGTCACTGTGTGACAAGTAGGGAAATTGAGGCTCTGAGTCACACTGTGTCTGATCTCCCAGAAGGCCATCTCCCTCCCCTGAGGGACCACAGTATTCTCTATGAAGTGGCGTCCTAGCCAGATTCCCAAGGGACAGGATGAGGTTCAGTTCCTGTAGAAGGATGTGGCTGGTGGCTTTGTCTCTGGAGGCCCTGGAATCTGTTTTTTCTGTCCCCCTGGGACAGGTGTGTTTGTCGCTAGGCAGATGGGCATGCATAGGCCCAGGTCTTGGGGTCGGTGGACTTGTGTGCCTGCCTGCTGCAGGAGCCTGGCCGGTGGCACATACTGCAGTCCCTCTCTCTAGGCCACGTGGTGCACAGGAAGCCTCGGGCATAGGGGTGACCCTGCCTGTCCACCCACCCAGCCAAAGGGACCGAGGCATCTGCTACCTCTACCTCTCTCTGAGCAAGGCTGCGGGGGGCACTGGGGATGGGCCCAGCACTCTCCAGTTCTTAGAGTTCCTGGGTGCCAGGAAGATTGGGGACCTAAGTGTGTGTTGGCTTCCTGAGGCGCTGGGGTCTGGGAAGCGGTGTCTGCTGGTGAGCAGGGGGCCAGTCTGGGCTGGCCTGGAACACTCAGGCTCGTGGGGTCACAGACACCCACTCAGGCTGGTGTGGAACTGGGGAGGCAGGCCTTGGTGCAGAAGCAAGTGGCTATGGCATGGCTGGCAGCGGCTGCCTGAGGTCCCTCTAGTCCCCTGGATAGTGCGGGAGTCAGCATGGCGGCCCCAGTCTCTTGGTCGCAAAGGGGAGGTTGCGTAGTCCAAGGGAAGCTGACACTGAAGGAGTATTTTGCTGGACCCTCGGCCCCAAATATTCCTCTGAGGCTTTTTTCCATCAGGAGTGGATAGGCCTGCTCCTTCTCCCTGCCTTTCCTCACTCCTCTCTTGGTGCCACTGCTGCAGTCTGGCTGGCAGGTTCTGGGTCCCCATAGGAGAACTCCGCTTTCTAGATCATAGTGGTCTAAAGCTTTAACAGTTTCAGGTACAGCACAGGGAAAGTTTCTGTGGAAAGTCTGGCTGACAGCTGCTGTGTCTCCCCACCCCCACCTGTTTCAGATCATTGAGAAGCAGCCGGGCCACATTCGGAGCAGGGTTTTCCGGGAGGTGGAGATGCTGTATCAGTGCCAGGGACACAGGTAACGTGACCTGCCCTCAGCTCTGAGCCATCTTTTAGTGATGAATGGGCCTGAATGCCTCTTTACCCCCAGCAAGCATTGAAGGCCGGGGCCATTCAGCTGCAAAGGGCCATTTGGCTATTTATAACATCATTCATAGGCCACACAAATTTATCAACTTGAAAATTAACCTGCTGCCTGGCTGGTTGTGGCTCAGTGGCTGGGCATTGAACCGTGAGCCAAGAGGTCATCGGTTCGATTTCCTGTCAGGGCACATGCCCAGGTGTCAGGCTCCCTCCCCAGTAGGTACGGGCATGCAGGAAGTAGCCAATCAGTGTTTCTGTCTTTCTATCCCTCTCCTTTTCTCACTTTCTAAAGTCAATAAACCATATTTTAAAAACCTGCTATATTTGGTCAAACATTTAATTAACTCATCCCTAAAGCCTTGGCAGGGCCAGACCAAATGATTTCGTGGGCCTTAAACAGGCCGAGGGCCGGATGGTCCCCACCCCTGAGTTCGGGAGTTCCCACTGTGTGCCAGGCCGTTGTGAATGGACCAAGTGTTAGGCTGGCAGTCTGAGATGGGCCAGGCCCAGCCTTCCTGCGGGCAGGTGGAGGTGGGATGGGGGTGGGCCCCTCACGAGCGGGGCGTGTATAAGGGCCTTAGGAAGTCTCACTCCTGTCCTGCCCCCCTTCCCCATCCTAGGAATGTTCTAGAGCTGATTGAATTCTTCGAGGAGGAAGACCGATTCTACCTGGTGTTTGAGAAGATGCGGGGCGGTATGTGGGGCCTGGAGACACACCCAGCTAGGTCCTAATGGGCTGTGGCTCAGAGCCACCTCGGAAGACCTATCGGAGGGTCCTGTCCATCAGAGGGGCTTGTGGGCTCTGAGCTTCCCGTCCACACAGCAGCTGAGGTCAGGGACTTTGGGTCCGAGGAGGCAGAGTGGAGGTTTCCCTGCCAGGTGGGAGTGGGTGGCCTTCCCTGTGGATGGGGCCCTGTGCAGGCTGGACAGGCCTTCCAGCCACCTCACCTCATTTCACTGCTGTAAGCCTGGGGACACAGGGTTAGTCTTACATGTTTTTTTCCTCCACTATGACCCCGCCCAGGCTCCATCCTAAGCCACATCCACAAGCGACGACACTTCAACGAGTTGGAGGCCAGCGTGGTGGTGCAGGATGTGGCCAGTGCTCTGGATTTCCTGCACAACAAAGGTGGCTGATGGGGTTGGCTGCTCAGGGTACCACCTACCTTTTGCCATCCCACCAAAGATGCCTGGGTCCCATGGATTTCCAGACTTGCCCCCAGTTCAGCTGCCCAGGACTCCCTAAAAATACACCCATCCCACCACTAACTCCCTGGTGGTTCTACCCACAGGCATCGCCCACAGGGACCTAAAGTTGGAAAACATCCTCTGTGAGCACCCCAACCAGGTGAGAGACGCTGGGGGGTGGCCTTCCCTGCGGATGGGGCCCTGTGCAGGCTGGACAGGCCCTCCAGCCACCTCACCTCATTTCACTGCTGCTTCCTAATCCCTCCCAGGTCTCCCCCGTTAAGATCTGCGACTTTGACCTGGGCAGTGGCATCAAACTCAATGGGGACTGCTCCCCCATCTCCACCCCGGAGCTGCTAACCCCAGTGAGGATCCACGGGGTCAGGGGCGAGCTGGGAGGGGCAGGGCGAGGGGGACAGGATTGCATTCTGTCCAAAGAAGTGGCTTGGGACCTCCAGGGGAGAGGTGGGGCAGCTTGTAGTCTCCGTGCTGGCGTCTTGAAACTCGGGATTTCGCTTAGCAACAGCCGCTGATTGGTCCTTCGGCTGTGATGGGGCGGGACCACGGCCAGGCAGGGCGGGACGAGCCTCCAGCACCTGTTGATTGGGCAGGGCGGGGGTTGGGGCGGGGCTGTGGTCAGGTGGGGGCGGGCTGGCACCCGCCATCAGCCTGTAATGGGCCGAGCAGAGCCGTCAGTTACTGCGGGCACAGGCTCAGGTGACTGGGCGGGCCCTGGCCTCACATTACACTGGAAAGTCCCCGGCCAGTGGCGTCCCCTCCCCCATGGCGTCTAGTCCTCACCGCTCCCCTTCTTCCCCGCAGTGCGGCTCTGCAGAGTACATGGCCCCTGAGGTGGTGGAGGCCTTCAGCGAGGAGGCCAGCATCTATGACAAGCGCTGCGACCTCTGGAGCCTGGGTGTCATCCTCTACATCCTGCTCAGTGGCTACCCGCCCTTTGTGGGCCACTGCGGCAGTGACTGCGGCTGGGACCGCGGGGAGGCCTGCCCGGCCTGCCAGGTGCGCACCCCACCCTGTGCCATTCTGAGGGCTGCGCCTGAGTATTGATTGCATCCGCAGAGTAATGCTGGCCTGCCCGACCTTCCAGGGCTTCTGAGGTTTCGGTCTCCTGCCTTTCAGCATAGAGCAGTTCGTTCAGGGAGCTGTGGTGGGGTGAGCCTGTGTTCTGTGCACTATTTGAGGCTCAGGATTCATGTGTGTCCTGGAGTCCTAACTTAGGAGGTCGCCTCTCCTGACCAGCCACCCTCAGACCTTTCTCTCTCTCCCTTCCTCTGATTTCACAGAGAGAAAAACTTCAATAATGAGAGATAAACATTGATCGGCTGCCTCCTGCACGCCCCCTACCTGGGATTGAGCCTGCAACTTGTATGCCCTGGACCAGAATCAAACCTGGCATCTTTCAGTCCCTAGGCCGATGCTCTGTCCACTGAGCCAAACCGGCTAGGGCCCCAGATCTTTCCTCACCTTCCTTGGCCCCTCAGGTGTCCCCATCCTGCCAGCTGATCCCAGGGCTCAGGTTCCATCCCGCTGTCTGGGTAGTAATCTGGGGTCCTTGCACCTGGTTCTTGGGTCACCAGTCAGGCCTTGGCAGTGTCCCAGCTCCCTGGGGTCCAGGCTTGCCCATTAGATCAGGATGTGGGCCTCCACCCTTTTGGCTGCAGCCGCCCCTCCTGCATGTGTTCCCCCAGAACATGCTATTCGAGAGCATTCAGGAGGGCAAGTACGAGTTTCCTGAGAAGGACTGGGCCCACATCTCCTTCGCTGCCAAAGACCTCATCTCAAAGCTGCTGGTTCGAGACGCCAAGCAGAGGCTAAGCGCTGCGCAGGTCCTGCAGCACCCCTGGGTGCAGGGGGTGAGTGCCAGCCTCCCGGGGGCAGCCGGGCATGGGTCCTTGCCTCTGCCCAGTCTCCAGTGGGCCGGGGCTGTGGCTCGGAACAAGTGCTGGAGAACCCTGGGGCCCAGTGGTGTGCTGTGGGTCCAGAGGTCAGTCACGGTTGTTTCCTGGGGGCCCAGGCACAGTTATGAAATCTTCCCCATCTGCTGGCTGCAGGAGCTGCTTAGCAAATGCCTGGCCTGTGCCCTAGAGGCGAGCAGGCTCAGCTCAGCCACCGGGCAGACGGGTGGGTGCCAGCCTCGGACAGGACTCGATCCCCTCCGATCCCAGAAGAGCCTGGTGGTTGTCCTTGCCAGTGGTCATCCAAGCTGGGCCACCCGTAGAGGGAGAAAGGACTGCCCGCCTAAGCCAGCCAGTAGAGGGGCTCCGAACTCCTGTCGGGAACATGGATTGGGAAGGGCGGAGCTGGGCTGGGGATGGTTAGGCGGGGTGGCAGGTGAGCAGGTAGGCCTGGGAGCCAGCAGGGACCTGGGGGGTTGGCCCTGGTAGGATGGGTGTGCCTGGCTCTGTTCTCTAGACCTGCTTCTCTGCTCTCCTTGCAGTGCGCCCCCGAGAACACCTTGCCCACGCCCATGGTTCTGCAGAGGTGAGGCCTGCATGGGGTCTTGGGTTGGAGAGGGGAGGTTAAAAGCTAAGGTGTTTAAAAATACAAAGTAAGTTATCTTTAAGTTGTAGGGGAAGCCATTGAAGAACTGGGTGTCCTTGTAGGGCGGTGGACTAGGTCCCGGGCTGGGGGAGGGGAGCTTTGGGGCCATAGCCCCTCCTCCAGGGCACTGCACAGACCCCGGGGTCCCAAGGAAGCAGAGGGTGTACCCGGCAGCCACCTCCCCTTCCTCGGTGACTGTCCGCCTTGTCCGCAGGAACAGCTGTGCCAAAGACCTCACGTCCTTCGCAGCCGAGGCCATCGCCGTGAACCGGCAGCTGGCCCAGCGGGAGGAGGATGCGCTGGAGGAGGTGGGGCAGGGCCAGCCCGTGGTCATCCGAGCTACCTCACGCTACCTGCACCTGTCCCCGCCGTCCCAGTCCAAGCTGGCCCAGCGGCGGCAGCGAGCCAGCCTCTCTGCAGCCCCCGTGGTCCTGGTGGGGGACCATGCATGACCCCTCCCTCTGTACATAGGTCACCCCCTACCCCATCAGATCTCAAGATTTTTTTAAGCTATTGCCAGCCAGTGACCAGCAGGCTGTGCTACACCCCACCCCACCCCCACCCCACCCCCCTTGGGTTCTGAGGTGCTGTGCTCAGCTCAGCTGGGGGGTATCTTTTTATATAAAGTTTTTGCTGTTGGGTTTTCCTTTTTTTTTTTTTTTTTTTTTTTTTTCTCTGTCCCCCACCCCCATTTTTTCCTTTGAATGGTGTTAACCGTAAACAGGCACCTTGGGAGAAGAGCAGAGAGCACATGTGCTGTGCATGCCCCACCTGCCACCTGGCGTACAGGCTCGGCTGTTCTGTGAAGGCCTTGTGCCCACGGCCCTGCCCAATGTGACTCAGGAGAGGAGGACAGTGCTGTCTTCCAGGGCGGGGGACCCGGGAACCACCTGCGCCCCTCTCCCTCCCCTGCCCTTACTGTTCTCAAGGCCAGACCAACCCTGCACCTCCTTTCACCCAAAAGGCACCCTGGTGGCCAGGGGGGTCCTGGGTGTGGGCAGGTGGAGTGAACAGCCACCCACATGGACCCACCCAGCCTCACCCCACCCCTGATTGAGAACCTTAACCTTAAGTTGCAGCTGATGGGGAGGGGCTGCACCCATTACCACTGCTCCCCACCCCCTCCAGGGGACTGTCTACGGGGTGGGGAGGGGCTGGACTGGCACTCGTCGGCCAATATGGGGGACCCAGGTCCCCCACCCCGGGCACCCCAGTGCCCCTTCTCAGGGCTCAGTCTGACCACGGCCACGTCCTGCCCCGTCTACTCTTGAGTTGACACGGAAGCTCTGCCAGCCTGTCTCCTCCCCGCCCCTCTACAGAGCCAGGGCTGACGCAGGTTCCCGATGAACCCCCGCTCCCCAGGCAGCATTCCTGCTCTGCCCACCTTTAGGGGAATGCCTCCCTCAGGCACCCAGGCCTCTCTGTCCTCCACCTCCCACCCCAGAGTCCAGGTCAGAGGTCTAGTGACTTGCTGGGCTCGGGAAGACTCTGACACCCCTCTCTGTCCTTAGGTGGGAAACACTATGCAATACAAGCTTCCTCCTCCTTCCTGCACACGTGTTTCTGCCAGGGGTGGCCCCCAGCCCTCTGCTGCCAGCCTGGGCTCTGGCTGGGTCCTTCAGGCAGGCCAGCTGGACAGCCCTCTGGCATCTAGTTTTCATCTTTCATTAGTATTTTAAGAACATCAGTTGACTTCCTTTTCCTGTTCTTGAAGAATACTTGAATGTCAGGGGGCCTTGTGGGTTGGGGGGCTCAGACACTGCCTCCCCCCCAAGTCTTGTAGAGTTGTTGCAGTCTGGGGCTGATGCCTGTCCGGCCACCTGAATCTGGACTGGTCTTTCCAAAGATCCCAGGCTGGGCGGCCACCCACCTCCGTCATTTCTTGCCCATTAGTGATCCCATGTATCACGACTGGGGTTCCGCCTTTTTGTAAGGAGCTGGGGCCTCACTGGCTACAGGCGGTGTGGCCATTTCAGTCCGGAAAGCTGGCTGTGAGCAGCATTTTCTGCTAAAGGTGGGACAGCTACTCACTTCCCCCATCGCATCTGCAGGGCGCCAGGAGGGCTGGCCGGAACGTCACTGTGAAGGAGGGCCTGGGTCCCAGGGCGCCCCAGGCTGCTAGGCTGCTCTGGTGCTGAGGGAGGGGGACTGGCAGTGTTTCCATGTTAATATATTAAAAAAGACAATTTTCTTTAAAAGTGGGGGAAAAACATCCAAGCACTTTAACTCCACTGTACCAGGTAAACTGATACAGCTCAAAAGTTTTCCTTGACACCAACTGTCAATGCCGGAATTTTGTATTCTGTTTTATAAGGATTTAATAAAACGCATAAAAGCTCATTCTGGTTTTCTGCTGCTGTATAACAAGCGGTCCCAAACCCAGTGGCCCTAAGCCATTCACTGTCAGTGATGCTGTGGTTAGGACTGGTCAGGGCACGTGGGGTTGGCGTGTCTGCGGGGTCTGTGAGGGTGGGGGCTCAGGAGCCTTCCGCGGCAGGCTCGACAGCATCATGCTGGAGGCTCCCCCACATCCGTGCCGGCTTTAGAGCTGTGGCTGAGCAGCGTCTGGTGGAGCACACTGTTCACTCATCTGTCCGTGTTGCCAGTGTTGGCCTCAGTGAACCGTGCTTCTGTGGACATGCGCACAGGTTTTCACTCGTGGAAACAAGTGGGAAACGTTTCACACGTGGACGTGTTCACTTCTGGGTGGACACCACGGAGGGGATGTGAGCAGGGCAGATGCGATCGGATGTGGCTTCTGGAAGGACCATTCTCAGCCCGTGTGGAGTGTGGATGGGACTGAAGGACTCAGTAAGCCATTGTCACCCTCTGAGCCAGTCAGATGAGGGATGACAAGCCTGGTGGGGGCGGTGCCCAGTAGACCACAAAATGGCAAGCACCAGGCATAGTGAGGAGGTGGCCTGCCGGCACGCAGGGACAGCCTGGACGCGGGTGAGAAGGGGGCTCAGCTGTGGAGAGACGGCGAAGGCGCGCCTGGCAAGGGAACAGGAGGGGCAGTGGGTCACCCCTCCCGGCTGGAAACCTGAGAGCAGCGGGTGGCACACCTTCCACCTGGCCCTTCAGTAGGAAACCCAGACACACGAGCCTGCGCCCCGCCCCCTGCATTTGCTCAGCTGCCTCCTGGACCCTTCCTCTCAGACCCCACAGCGCCCCTCCCCTGAGCCAGGCCACCACCGGCCCTCCGGGGCGACAGCCCAGCCTGGTCTCCTGGCCCCCACTCAGCCCCCAAAGATCCCATCAGGGTTCCCCCGACCCCGCCTGGCATCGTGTGTGGGCAAGGAGGGGTGGCTGCCACATGCCACGCTACCACCCTCCCAGGTGGCACAGAGCCCTGCCCAGCCCCACCAGGCCCTGCCAGTGACCGCTCCCTGCCCCTTGTCTCATGCCAAGTCCGGCAGCCAGGCACATCCTGTTCTCGGAGCCTCTGCGCGGATTGTGTATGTTGGTGGTTTCCTCTCCGTAGATCCCGCCCTTCCACCTCTCCGCCGAGCAACAGGGAAATCCCGGAACTGGAGCAGCGGGGAGCCTGCCCCAGGCCTGGGCCCAGTCTCCACCTGGGTAAACGGAGGCGCCAGGTTGGGCTCTCAGCTGCCCACAGGCACTGGCCTCACCAGAATCACATCAGTGAGGGAACGGCCCCACACGCCCCTTGACAAGACAATGGCAGTGCGATGTCCATCCCTCGCTAAGAATAGGAGGGACGGGCGGGGCTGTGGAAACTATTGTATTTGCACTAATGGCGCGGCTTTCCTGTAAACCTGAAACCTTTTTAACCCTTATTCAAGAAATGTCATGTTTTGTGTTTTTTTTTTGTTTTTTTTAAATGTATTTTATTGATTTTGTACAGAGAGAAAGGGAGAGAGATAGAGAGTTAGAAACATCGATGAGATAGAGTCATCGATCAGCTACCTCTTGCACACCCCTCACTGGGGATATGCCCGCAACCAAGGTACATGCCCTTGTCTGGAATCGAACCTGGGACCTTTCAGTCCCTAAGCCGACGCTCTATCCATTGAGCCAAACTGGTTTCGGCAACGTGTCATGTTCTTTTATTATTATTATTATTATTATTATTATTATTGATTTTAGAGGAAGAGAGAGATGAGAGAGAAATGTCTATTGGCTGCCTCCCCTATGCTCCTACTGGGAATTGAACCCCCACCTTTGCTGCTGTTAATCCTCACCCAAGGATTTTTTTTCTTCCCCATCGATTTTTTTAGGGCGAGTGGAGCAGAGGGGGAGGGAGACAGAGAAAGAGAGAGAGAAACACTGATGTCAGAGAGACACATCGATTGGTCGGTTGCCTTCTGCACATGCCCTGACCAGGGTTGGGGATGAAGCCTGCAACCAAGGTACATGCCCTGGACTGGAACTTGAACCCTCGACCCTTCAGCCTTCAGGCTGATGTCTAACCACTGAGCAAGCCTGGCGAGGGCAAACCTCCCATCTTTTGGTGTATGAGGCAGCACTCCAACCAACTGAGCCACACTGGCCAGAGCTAAACCTAAAACTTTAAACAATATTTTATTTATTTATTTTCATAGAGTGAGACATGAAAAGCCACAGTGATTTAATTTATATAAAATGTCCAGAGCAGGCAAGTCCGTAGAGACAGGAAGTGGGTTCATGGTTTTTGGGGGCTGGGAGGGATGGGGAGTGACTGCTGATGGGGATGGGCTTCTTTTTTTGGGGGGCGGGAATGATGGAACATTTTGGAACTAGATAAGAAATGATGAAGGGGGGCCACCAGTTTGGCTCAATAGATGGAGCGTCGGCCTTCAGACTGAAGGATCCCAGGTTCGATTCCGGTCAAGGGCATGTACCTTGGTTGCGGGCACATCCCCAGTGGAGGGTGTGCAGGAGGCAGCTGATTGATGTTTCTCATTGATGTTTCTCACTCTACCCCTCTCCCTTCTTCTCTGTAAAAAAAAAAAAAAAAAAAAAAAAAAAAAAAAAAATCAATAAATTTTTAAAAAATAAAAAGAAATGATAGTGATGGTTGCACAATATGGTGAATGTACTAAATGCCATTGAATTTAAAAGGGTGACTTTCTTCCTAATGAAAATAAAAAGGATGATGGGGCCAAATTAGTGTAGAGTCTGGTACACAGTAAGTACTCAATAAATGCACCAAGGAATGACTAACCACCCTGCGGGTGGGGTGGAGGCCAGCACAGGCGCCTCCTCCCAGGCGCAGGGATTTGTGCGAGCTTTCATCCCTGTCGTCCTCACTAATCCCCTTGACACAGCTCCCTGCGAGTCACCCCATCTCAGTGTCCCTATTCTCCGTCTCAGGAGGAAACCTGGTGGTCCGTCCTGGACTTAGACTCCCCGGAAGGAGGAGAAATGGGTGTATGTGTTTTGTTTTGTTTTTAATATATATTTTATTGATTTTGTACAGAGAGGAAGGGAGAGAGATAGTTAGAAACATCGATGAGAGTCATCGATCAGCTGCCTCCTGCACACCCCCTATTGGGGATATGCCTGCAACCAAGGTACATGTCCTTGACCGGAGTCAAACCTGGGACCCTTCAGTCCCCAAGCCGACGCTCTATCCATTGAGCCAAACTGGTTTTGGCTGTATGTGCTTTTTAAAAAAATCCTCACCAAGGATATGTTTTTTATTGATTTTTAGAGAGAGGAGGGGTGAGAAGCGAGGAGGGGAGGAGAGGGAGAAAGAAGCAGCAATGTATGAGAGAAACAGCGACTGACTGCCTCCCGTATGCCCCAAGTGGGGATCGAACTGGCAGCACAGGCACAGGCCCCGACTGGGAATCAGACCTGCACCCCTTTGAGCTCCAAGCAGCTGAACCACCTGGCCAGGGCTGAGGAACAGGTTAAAACAAAGTGTGATGGAATCAGTCAGATGAGGGGAAGGAGGTACCGTAGTTCACACTTGATGGGATGAGGGAAGGGTATGGACAGGTGGCCGGAGCCCGTGGCTCTGGTCCCCACTCGGCTGCACTCGTCCCCTCTGCCAAAGCCCCGTGCAGGGTTTGGGGTTTGTGGGCAACCCTAGGAGATGCCTGGGATTTCCATCATGTCTCTCATTCTCTCCCCTGCCTCAGTTTCCCTTTTGTGACCTACTGTGAGACTGCAGAAGGCTCAGACCAATGACAGGGAGCTTGGGCCCAAGGAGATTTCCGGAGTCTGGGGTCCAGGATGCCCGTGCCAAAGGCCCTTGGGAGACTTTCCACCCTGCAGGTGCCGGGGCCATATAAGGGTTGTGGGTTCCAGCCCAGTCACTCCCGGCCAGAGGCCATTGTCCCAGTGACTCAAGTTGCAGACCCTCATCCTGGATCATGGTCTCCATCTCCTAGGCTGGTTTTATTTACCTCTTGCCGCGCCTGGCACCAAGAACGCACGGCAAGAAACCAGCTTACAACCTCTCCAAACTGGGGCCGGAACCAGCGAGGGGTGAGTAAGATCCTTGCTTAGGCAGAAGATTTAAGAGAGTGCCAAAAACTGCACTCACCGTGGTAACACGTGCTGAGCTGTTTTTTAACGGCATCAAAAGCAGCTTTGCTAAAAAATAATAATAATAATAAAATAAATCCTTACCCAAGGGTATGTTTTTATTGATTTTAGAGAGAGGAAGGAAAAGGGTGAGAGAGACACACCAATTAGTTGCTATACACACCCCAACCGGGGACCGAACCCGCAGCCTGGGCATGGCTCTGACCAGGAATGGGACCCACAGCCCTCTGGGGCATCAGACGATGCTCTGACCCACTGAGTCACACCAGCCAGGGCCGTGCTGTGAGCTTTGGCAGGAACTATTGTGGGGTCACATGCAGTTGCAAGAAATAACATTTTGTCCAGTTTTCCCCAGTGGTAGCATTTTGCAGAAACAATTACAATGTCACAACCGCCACGTTGACATTGCTACAATGTGTCTTATTGGGCAATGGCCACTTCCACTTGTATCCACTGTGTTTACAGCTCCTTCCCCGCCACCCTCAGGTCTCAAAGCAAACAGGGCGTGTGTTTAACCTAAGGACATGTGGCGCACCCTCTGTTCTCACTGGGACATGGAAGCTTCTAAGACTGCGCTGTGGAACCGGGTTTTTCAAAAGAACTTTCCGGCAGGATGGACATGTTCTCCACCTGCAGCCACAGGTGGCTGTGGAGCGTGTGACATGTGGCCCATGAGGATGAGAAACAGAATGCCTCCGTGACTGCATTTAATATATATATATATATATATATATGTGTGTGTGTGTGTGTGTGTGTGTGTGTGTGTGTAGGTATGTGTGTATATATATATATATAGAAATATATATATATAGAAATATATATATATAGAAATATATATATAG